TCATTTTTTTCTTTGCTGAGTAGTACTCCATTATGTATATGTACTACATTTTTCTTAATTCATTCTTCAGATGAAGGACATCAAGGTTGTTTCTAGGTTCTGGCTATTATGAACACTGGTGCTATGAACATAGTTGAGCCTGTGTCACTGTGATGGAGCATTCCTTGGGTATATGCCCAAGAGTGGTATAGCTGGGTCTTGAGGAAGATTGATTCCTAATAGTCTGAGAAACCGCCACACTGATTTCCAAAGTGACTGTACAAGTTTGCACTCCCACCAACAATGAAGGAATGTTCCCCTTACTCCACATCCTCTCCAAACTAAACTGTCTGCAGTGCTTTTGATCTTAGCCATTCTGAAAGGTGAAAGATGGTATCTTAATCACTGGTCATTAATATCCCTTAATATCAATGGACTTAAATCACTTATAAAAAGACACAGGCTAACAGATTGGATATGAAATTAAGACCCATCCTTCTGTTGCATACAAGAAAGATACCTCAAATTCAAAGACAGACTCTACTTCAGAGAAAAGCCTGGGAAAAGACTTTCCATTCAAATGGACTTAAGAAGCAAGCTGTTGTAGCTATTCTAATATCTAACAAAATAGACTTCAAACTAAAATCAATCAAAAGAGATTGTGAAGAACATTACATACTCATCACAGAAAAGATCCACCAAGATGAAGTTTCAATTCTGATCATTTATGCTTCAAATACAAGGGCACCCACATATGTAAAAGAAACATTACTAAAGCTTAAACCACATATAAAACCCCACACATTAATAGTGGGAGGTTTTAACACCACAGTCTCACTACTGGACAGATCTGCCAGATAGACACTTAACAGAGAATAAGTGACCTAACAGGTGTTATGATGGAAGTGGACTTAATTGATATGTATAGAACATTCCACTCATAAATCACTCAGGGAGCATAGAGGGCTTATAGTTTCTACTGTTACTTAGGTCCATTAAGACAATAAATCAATGTCTTGAGGTGCAGAAGGAGAATGTGAACTTTCCCATCCAAAAAGACTTTGAATTGAACATTTTTCTTTCCTAAAAGACTCCAGAAGTTATTGAAAGTAACAGAACAGTGTAATAAAAATAGCAAAACACTGCGCAAATCTGGTTTCAATTAAAAGCTGTATTTTTTCCTACATTGGCAGCTTAATTTTACTGGGTTGTATTTGATTTATTTATCTCTTTCCTTCATCTACTTCTCTCCCCTCTATTCCATTCCCTCCCTGCCACCATCTCTCCTTTCCTCTATACTCTTTTTTCTCGCCCTCTCCTCTTTTCTTATTCTTCTCTCCTCTTTTCTTCTCTTCTCACTTCCCTTCCATTTTTTATTCCTTCTCTCTACTCTTCTCCCTTTGCCTCATCACCTTTCCATTTCTCCTGATCTCCTCACCTCATCCCTTCTGTCTTTCTATCTCCTCTCTTCTACTCTACTTCCTTTTATTCATATCACCCTTTTCCTGCTCCTTTTCCCTCCTCTCCTCTCCTCTCCTCTCCTCTTCGCTTCAGTGGCATGAATGTTTAGTGTAGATGCACTACTGATAGCTGCTTATACCCTATAACACTTGTATCAGTGTTGGAAAAACAAGATACACATGCACAGCATGCTCATAGTTTAGTAAGCAGGATAAGTTTCATAGCAACCTTTAATGACAATGATCCCTAGCAACACGCGGGGCATCTTCCAGTATTATCTTCCAGTATTACGAATGCCTGCCGATGGAAACGTTCTTCCTGGCTCTATCTCAACCTGACTCCTCTGTTCTGCTGGGTAGCCTGGTAGTTAAAAGAAAGAGGATTTAATACAGAACTCTGACCCAAAACTTTCATCCAGCAAACTAAATACCCCTTTGATCAAAATGACAAGTACTTGAATCATTAATGACAATTTCCCTATTTTTTGTGAAAATTTGTACAATATTATTATTCTAATTTTAGTCTAAATAAAATAAAAGGTAAGTGAGTACCACTAAAATGAAAGGCTCCACACAAGTTGTGTTGCTTTTAGTTGGGACATGTATTGGACTCACATGCCAGCAACTGTCAATCACACACAAGAGCACCTTGCTTTTGTCACTGTCAGTCTGTGCCACTCCTTAGAATGCTTTTAAGTGTCTGTACATTCAGAAGATGGTGCAGACTCCCTGTGGACAGCAATCTCTAACAAAGAGGCTTCTGTTTGCTCTCATTCCAACATTTTCCTTGCCAGTCTTCATTTTATAAATTTAAAATTTGATGTTTCATGCGGGTTTCTCTTTATAGCAGATGCTTGCCTTACACACAGTATATAATCTTGGCTGGGCCTAATCAACTGCAGTTCTTAAGTAGGTGATCTCAGCTACTGAGAGTTCAAAGATGCAATGACCATGTTATTCTTGGAAAATGTGTTCCACCTCTTTCCCTTTTCTTTCTTTCTTTCTTTCTTTCTTTCTTTCTTTCTTTCTTTCTTTCTTTCTTTCTTTCTTTCTTTCTTTCTTTCTTTTGTTCTTTCTGTCTTTCTTTCCTTCTTTCTTCCTCCCTCTTTCCACCTCTCCCTTTCTCTCTCTCTCTCTCTCTCTCTCTCTCTCTCTCTCTCTCTCTCTCTCTCTCTCTCTCTCTCTCTCTCTTGTTCTGTTTCTGCTTATTCTTCTTTTATGATGTTGCATGAACCTTAGAGAGATGATAGTTTTAAAGGGAAAAAAGGAGCTGATGGGAATGCAGACTTGGCATCTAACAGTGACAGTACAAAAAAGAAAGAGTACACATCTAGTCTGTGGTAATGAGCTTCTCGTAGGAGCCAAAATCTTGGAACATTTTAAAAATTAGACAGAAATGAGGAAGAGAATTGAAAGTCATAGACTTTCATAGGATTCATCTGAACAAAAGGAAATCCATGTGAGAAACAGCAACATTTGTAATAGCCAGAACAAGGAAACAACCTAGATGCCTTTCAACTGAAGAATGGATAAACAAAATGTGGTACATATACACAGTGGAATACTACTCAGCAGAGAAAAAATGACATCATGAGGTTTGTAGACAAATGGATGGATCTAGAAAAAATCATCCTGAGTGAGGTAACCCAGACTCAGAAAGACAAACATGGTATGTACTCACTCATAGGAGGATACTAGATGTGGAACAAGGATGACTGGACTGCTACTCACATCACCAGGAAGGCTACCTGAAAAACAGGACCCCAAGAAAGACACGGGGATCGCCCAATGACAGAGAAATGGAATGAGATCTACATGAACAGCCTGGACATGAGTGGGGGTAGTGAAGGGCGAGGGTCGAGGGAAAGAGAGCTTGGGGGAGCAGGAGATCCCAGCTGGATCAAAAACAGAGAGGGAGAACAAGGAATAGGAGACCATGGTAAATGAAGACTACATGAGAATAGGAAAAGCAAAGTGCTAGAAAGGCCCACAGAAATCCACAAAGATACCCCCACAACAGACTGCTGGCAATGGTCGAGATACAGTCCGAACTGACTTACTCTGGTGATGGGATGGCTAAACACCCTAATTGTCGTGCTAGAAACCCCATCCAACTACTGAGGGATCTGGATGCAGAGATCCATGGCTAGGCCCCAGGTGGAGTTCTGGGAGTCCAATTAGCGAGAATGAGGAGGGTTTATATGAGGGAGAATTGTTGAGACCAAGGTTGGATAAAGCACAGGGACAAATAGCCAAACAAATGGAAACACATGAACTATGAACCAATGGCTGAGGGGTCCCCACTGGATCAGGCCCTCTGAATGGGTGAGACAGTTGTTTGGCTTGATCTGTTTGGAAGGTATCCAGGCAGTGGGACCGGGTCCTGTGCTCATTGCATGAGTCAGCTGTTTGAAACCTGGGGCCTATGCAGGATCGCTTGGCTCGGCCTGGGAGTAGGGGACTGGACCTACCTGGACTGAGTCTACCAGGTTGATCTCAGTCCGCGGGGAAGGCTTTGCCCTGGAGGAGGTGGGAATGGGGTTGGGCTGGGGGGAGGTGAGGAGGGCGGGAGGGGGTAGAACAAGGGAATCCATGGCTGATATGTAGAACTGAATTGTATTGCAAAATAAAAATAAAAAAAAAATTAAATAAAAAAAAGATTCCCCAAGCTCCATATAGTGTTTAGCTGTGGGTCTATATCTGTTTCCACCAGTTTCTGGATGAAGCCTCTCTGAGGACAAATGGGTGAGGCACCGGTCGATAAGTATAACATCATAACATTGACATCATCCCCCCGACCTAGCTTTATATTTGGTTCTATCCTAGGTATCTGTGTCAACCAGTCTGTGGGTCCTAGTACTTCAGATAGAGTCAGGGGTGGTCTTATTCTCTGGGCAAGGGTTTTAGGCTTGATCCGTCATTGGTTGGCCATTCTCTCAATCTATACTTCTCGACAACCATTATTCTTTGAAGTTTGTGGTTTAGAAGTCAACTATTGAGGGTTCAGTGATCCAGAATACATCTTCCTCTTGCAGAGAACCTGGGTTTCATTCCAAGCACCCACATGACAGATCACAACAGTCCATGACTCCAATCCCATGGAATATTACACCATATTCTAAACTACACCACTCCAGGAATGCACATAGTACATATACATACATGAAAGAAAAACACATAAAAAATAAATAAGAAATATTCAAAATTTAGCAGTATCTGATAAGCTATATTTAATAATCCTGATTTCTGATCATGTCATGTCACATCTAAATACTCACAGGAATGTGAAAAAAGTAGCATTTCCAAATCTCACATGGTATTTTCAAAGAGTTGGTCATTATCCATCAGTATATGAGAAAGACAGATCCTAATCACACCCTAAATTCTGTGTTCTGTACATCACCAGCAAACTGTAAGTGTGCCCTACTGTCACCACTCTCTTGGGCATCATATGCAACTGTTCATTTTCTCAGAATTAGTTTGGGGCTCCAGTTTTCCTTTAGGATGATGGTCTAGCTAAAAACCAATGTCTATTAATTTTGTTCATACAATATACCAGTGAATGATAATCAGACCTTTACAAACCATCATAATAATCACAACAACTTCTACACCCCAAATATTGAATTAATCTAGTACTACAATATTCTGAATTGAAACAATGGACAGCAATTGGATTCAAGACTGTGTCCCAAGAGTGTTAGGAGATACTGTACCTACAGAATGGATCTGATGTGAAGGGGTCATTTTGAATATAAAGTACTGTATACAGTCTATGTTTTAGAGTACCCTGACAACACAAAAATAAATTGGTTATTGATAAATTTGAGTACTGCCTGGATGAAAATCCCTGATATAGTGTCTGATGAGCAGAAAGGGCGAGAGTGCTGAGAAGCTTGCACTCATGGCCACATTGGCATTGGCCAGCCACGTATCTGATCCATCCTGGAAAGAAAAATATACCATTAAGGCAAGAGAGGATCCATAAAAAACCACAAAACTGCTCACTAGGGTAAGAATACTTTGTGTGGCTTTGGTCTCAGGAAATGATTTAGTAGATACAGATTTGTGGATATGCTGGACCCTCTGTTTATGTTTGAACAAGATTAACATCATGAAGCCACTGGCCCACACCATGAGTCCCAAACATATAACATCATTGGAAGCTAATAGGATTGCACATACGTTGAGAGATTGTTTGGAAGGTTTTACTACTAAACAATACACAAATTGTCTAAATTCAGTAAGATTTCCTTTATTCCTCATGTCAGTTACTGTACTCAAGAGAAAGATATATGTAAGTAGATACAGGGCCCAGCACAGGCCTAGGAAAGGACCAACTACCCTAGGGGTTTTGACCTTGAGCTGTGCCCACTTGGAATTACTGGGGCTGATGGTGATGGCCTGAAAGACACTCAACAGGGATGTGGAACCAAGGGATACTCCCCTGGCAACTCTATGAAAATAAAAGACAAGTTTACATGAAATATTATCTAGAGAATATGTCTCATCAAAAGCAGCCATTATCTGAGGGATTCCTTTGCAGAGAAGAACCATGATGTTAGCCAAAGTCAGGTGTTTGATAATCAGGTCTGTGGGCCTCACCCTGATCCCACTGAAGTTAGAAAGAATGAGACAGCAAAGCAAGGCTAAGTTCCCGAACATGCCCAGTGCTGTCTGGGATAGGAAGAAGATCCCCATGGCCAGGTCTCTGGATGCCATTGTGTCATTTTATAGGAATGTCACTCAGTATCCAATCCTGAGAACTTCAGGATAGACTATTTTCTTCATTGTACATGAAATCCATGCTAGCCAAATAACCACTACTTTACATTAAGATATTAAGATAAAATATGTTTAAAAGTTTTTTGTTGTTATTGTTGTTGGTGGTGGGTTTTTGTTTGTTTGTTTGGGTTTTTTTCAAGACAGTGTTTCTCTTTGTAGTTTTGATGTCTGTCCTGGATCTCGCTCTGTAGACCAGGCTGGCCTCAAACTCATAGAGATCCTCCTGGTTCTGCCTCCCGAGTGCTTGTATTAAAAGTGTGCACCACCTCTGCCTGACTGTTTAAGAGTTTTTAAAAACTTTAACTATGTATTCATTTTTGTGTCTTCATGTGACAATATTCACTTTAGTGCAAGTGCCTTTGGACCCAGTCAGGGTTACAGTCAGTGGCGAGCTGCCAGATGTGTATGTTGAGACTAAACTTGAGTCTTCAGTAAGAACAGTATGACTTCCTAATCCAGAAAGTGTTCTTGAGAGCCCCCAAGTTTCTAGGTGCTGGAGCCATTACAGGCACTGGCTGCTCTACCAGAGGATCTGGGTTCAATTCCCAGCACACACATGGCAACTCACAACTGTCTGTAGCTCTAGATCTAGGGGTTCCACACCCTCACACAGACGTACATGCAGGCTCAAAGTATTCCCAATTGTTCCTACAAATAGACAGGACTGTAGTTAAAGACAAAGTTAGAACTGCACCTGTTGGTTTTTAGCACTTTTCATATGGCTCGACAGATGATGTGCGATTTCCACCTCACAGCAGCCTTCTTTGGGGGCTTCTAATGATGAGACAGACAGTTATAGAATGAGTTTTGTGACACTACAGAATCCCTGGATTTTACCACTGGCAAACGGCAGACATACCACAACCAACACCATTTTGGAAAGAAAATAATGTGCTCTAGGCTGTATGGTGCAAAACTGTTCTCTTCAGGGGCTCCTTGTCATATTTTTAAAATGAATGTCATTTACACTGCCATTCTAGGGTCTATTTTACCAACTCTATATTTTTGAAATATGCCATTAATTCCTAGCATATGTCATTGGCATACAACATGTATTCAACGTAAATATCAAAATGTGATGACAATGCTAATCACATATGAAACAGATCAATTTTATACAAACATTGAACTTAATAATTTGTAAGGGTTGATTCAATGTTGGAATGACAACCATGAGAACTTTCCCCATTTACTATATCACACCATACTGTGATATAGTAAATGGGGAACAGTCCCTATTCTACCATAGTTGTGTAAACATATGCGAAACAAGGCCGGGCGGTGGTGGTGCACGCCTTTAATCCCAGCACTCGGGAGGCAGAGCCAGGCGGATCTCTGTGAGTTCGAGGCCAGTCTGGGCTACCAAGTGAGTTCCAGGAGAGGCGCAAAGCTACACAGAGAAACCCTGTCTCGAAAAACCAAAAAAAAAAAAAAAAATATGCGAAACAAAATTGTATGCATACCTATATGAATAGTGTGTTAGATTTTCTTTCAGACAGGAAAACGTAAGTGATATATGTATACATTGGTCCAAAGGAAAATCTGGAGATCAAGGACATGTTTGCAAGGTAGAAACCATAGCAGTAGTGATATAAATATTTAGTCCTGCCCAAGTGATGCTAAATTTGCAAGTCATAGAAACCTTATTAGAATTGATTGGAATTTGAATCACATGTACCTGATATTGTCCACACTCTTATGCACAGAAATACAGCATGAAATCACTATTACTGCTCTTGCCCCATAAGGAGGAAAAATTACCATTTTTTTACTGTGCCACTTGGCACCTGTGTTTCCAAAAGAAAACTGCCACCTGCTTCTATGACACTGAGTCAAAGAGGCAGCTTCCAAGGAAAGCAAGGATTCTCATATCTTTAGGTTCTGCTCTGTGGCACTTGTGATTATAACAGGCATTACATTTCACTGAGTAGACCTAGTATTTGTCCAAAGAAAGCTTGTGTGTTTGTGTGTAAAAACTTGCGTTTGTGTGTGTGTGTGTGTGTGTGTGTGTGTGTGTGTGTGTGTGTGTGTGTGTGTGTTGAGGAGGGGGGTCTGTCTGTCTGTATACCTTGAATACTGTGATAAAGCATTTTAGATGCAAAGACCCCCCAGCCTGACTCCTGTGACAGCAAATCCTCCTTGCCAAAGATTTTTAGGGAGAGGAGACTAAGCACACAGGCCTCTCTCTGGCAGATGCCCTCCACCTGTGGAGTGTTCAGAACTCAGATGATCCACCACTGCTCTGTGAGTATTCACACAGTGCAAGCATTCTGTTCCTGAAAGAGAAAGACAAGCTCAGAGAGCTGCACTTACACAGCTGGCAGCAGGATGTCTAGCTTCTGCAAGCCTGAGGGAAGAAATCAAGACTCACCTATGAAAGCAGATGCCTCTGTGATAGCAGATGCTTCAAAGGACCTCAGTGGTCATAGGGACAAACAGCCTGTCTCCATATAGTCACAGACACAGGGGCACCTGTTCATATGCTGATACTTCATCTCCCCTGAGGTCCAGAGGATGTCACAGGAGGCAGCCATGTCACTGTCTGCTGAGGGAGTTGACTTCACCTCTGAAAAACACTTCTTCCCATCAGAACCTTCAGGAAAGTTTTCACTGTGAAGTGAACAGCAGAGGGACACACTGAAAATCTGGAGGGGATTCTCCTCTCCTGGGACAGTGGATCACAGAGGGAGTTCAGACTGTCATAGCAATGGGATAGGTTCTAAGGAAGAGCAGGTGAGGATGGAAAGGAAAGTTGGAGCTGAAATTTTAATTTCCCTGAGTTAGTCTTCCCCACACTTAGTGAATATACAAACAGGAAATGACAAGAACACATGCAAATATAGAACTCTGATCCTAAACTTTTAGACCAGGAAGCCAAACTATGCTTCTGAAACCTTGCTAAATAGGGTAAGGAATTTTCCTTAGTGATAGTTTTCTTATTTTGTGACACAATTTGTGGCTATATAATTACTCACATTTAGGACTACCCAAAGAAAGGTAATCATGCAGTAATAAATAATAAATAAATAATTAAATCTCCATAGGTTACCTTGCTTGTAGGTAACATGTCTGCTGCACTCATATGCCCACCACCACCCTCATTCAGGCACAGTGTTGCCATTCTTTTGTCATTGTGAGGATTTCTGACTACTCTGCACTCCTCAAGCATATGACTCGGTTGTGAATCTTGATAAATGTTAATGGCATTAGATAAATTTGGAATGCCCTCAACATGAGCTCATGTATTTGAGACCTGGCCTAAAGAATTAAGGTCCAACTCTGTACATCACAAACTTATAACCCCCACTTAGGGATTTGGGCTTGTGACAAACAGCTGACTTGCAACCAGTCACGGAAACAGAGTTTCAGTCACTCACAGGCAGCCAACAGTAGTTCACAAACCCCTCAGATATAGTAACTAACTGCGGAGACAGAAGCAATAGCTTTCTCTGAACCCCTCCTTTGCATAGCTTCCAAGTGTCTGTGTGTGAATGTTTTTGTCCTGTGTTTACAAACAGATATCTCTCTGAATTTCCTCTAGTTCTGGGAACTGCACAAGTTACAAATGCTTCTTTGCTCAGTACAACTCTATGGATTTAATATGTTCTATAACTTTCTTTCAACAATAACTCAAAATTGACAACCAGCCTTATAAGGTATTCACAAACAAATACCAAAAGAAACATAGAAAGAGAAATGGAGAAAGAATAGACGAGAGTGTTGTTCAAAAATTAGACACATCATGAGCTGGAAAGATGACTCAGAAATTAAAAGCATTTGCTGCTCTCATAGAGGATCAAGTTTTGGATCAGAGTACCCACATGGTGGCTCACAATCATTCATTATTCGAATTCCAAGGGATCTGGTGACTTCTTCAAAATTCCATGAACACCGGGCATGCACATGGTGCACACATACACGTGCAGACACAATACTCCATGACACCCAGGTTCGATTCCCAGCACCCTCATGATATCTCTTAATTGCCTGTAACTCCAAAACCAGGGGACCTGATGTCCTCTTCTGACTCTTGTGGGCACACAGGGCACACACACACACACACACACACATACACACAACACGCAAAACATTCACACATATCAAATAAAATAAAGGACACACGTCACAAAACATATGTGTTATAAGCATGCTGACAGTGGGTAATTTATAAACAAATAGTTAAATAGATAGATAGCTAGATAGATAGATATGCATATATATATGGAAAAGGTTTGTTTCAGTTTTTTAAATTTTTTATTCATTTTACATACCTACCACAGTTCCCCCTCTCACCCCTCCTCTACCTCTCCTCTTCTGCCTCCCCCAAATCCACCCCCATCCACTCCTCCAAAAGGTAAGGCCTCCCATGGGGAGTCAACAAAGCCTGGTAACATTAAGTTAAGGCAGGACCAAGCCCCTCCCCCTGATACAAGGCTGAGCAAAGTATCCCACCATAGGGAATGGGCTTCAAAGCCAGCTCATGCACCAGAGATATATCCTGGTCTAGACAATGTGTAATTTATAAAGCACTCAATGGTATCAGTCACAACACTGTCTACCAAACAAGCTTAAGGTTAATTTACTAATGCACTAAATCTGGTTCTAGTAATTTTTTGTTGTTATTCAAATCTGATATTTTGTGTTAAATTCTTAATGGTAGGAGAAGCAAAAGGGCTCTGCAGTCCTATGGACCTTACAAAATGTTGGCTGAGGAAATGGCTCAGTTGGTAAAGTATTTTCTGGGTAATCATGGGTACCATTGTCAGGATCCCCAGCACCTACATTAGAAGTTTTGTGTGCAGTAGGAGCCTGTAACTTCAGGTAGTCAGAAATAGGTATGTTCTAGGATCTCACTGGCCAGCCAATCTGATCTGAGCTAAATGTTGAGGTATAGGTTCAGTGGATTCCATATCTTAAAAACCAAGGTGGAGAGTAATAGAGAAAGGCACTGGGATTCAAACCCTAGCCTCCACATGCACTTGAACTGGGGAACCTACA